GAAGTCAAAAAACAGAGGTGGGGCCGTAGCGAGCGACGACAGAGGAAGAGATGGGAGGAGCAGAGGAGCACGAGACGGTCGACGAGCCCTGACGAGAGACGGAGGAGTCGGGTCAGGAGAGAGGGGAGGAGACACAGGAGGAGAACGAGGAGGGAAACGAGCTGGAGAAGAGTCCAATTGAGGAAACACAGGGCCGTAGACCGGCAGAGGAGGAGGCGGTGGCGACCAAGGAGCCACAGGCAGGCGGTAAGGGGAAGGGAGGCCGAGGAGGCAAAGAGCGGACACCGGCGGCGACTGCGGCGGCTGCTGCCCGACGCCAACACCAGAACCTCCAGCTGCACCACGGCTCTCTCCGAGAAGCCCCATGCCAGCACCCCCAGAATAGGAACCCGCTCTTGTACCCGCTCCGGCACGCTCCCCAGCACCCCCAGAACGCACAAACCCTTGCGGCGGTGACGACGGCGGCTGCGGCTGCGGCGGCGGCAACAGCTGCGGAGGCGGCTGTGGCCGTGACAGCAACCTAGGAATTCACAAGGGACGGTGCGGGCAGTGAGCTTGTCCGTGCCAGAGGCACGAACGTGAGCAAGGCAGCCCAAAACGTGGAACGCAGACGTGTCACCAGGAGACCTGGTCTAGAGGATGGTCGGCGAAACCTGCTGCCGCTGAGGGTGCGGCCACACGTTAAGCTGGTGGGCGGTGTAGCGAACGGCGAACGGCCACAGAAAATGGGGTGCACCTGCATGGATCATGGAGGTACGAGCCACCTCCATGACCAAACCGATGCGTCACTCAGTGACCCCATACTGCTGCGGGGAGTTCGGCAGGGTGTATGTCAGGGTGATGCCCTTCGCACAACAGAAGCGACCAAGGCAGCCACAGGCGAACTCGCCACCATGGTCAGATTGAAGACGCAACACAGGGAGACCTCAGTGCACCTGCGCAGAGACAAGGCACGGGATAAGAACGTCGGGCATATCGGCCTTCCGCTTTAGGGGAAACACAATGGTGTAGCGAGTGTTGTTGTCGACAAGTACTAGGAAGTAACGCTTACGACGCGGCCCATAGATGGGGGCGGGGCCTTAGAGGGGCACGGTCTGTAACGGTGCGGTTGTGGGGGGGAATGAGGAGGAGTGAGGGGCACGGCGGAGCCGGCCCTCAACACAGGGGGTGCACGGAAGCGCTGCCGAGGAGGGGAGCACAGGGAACGACGCAGGGAGTCCTAAGACAAGACCGTGCTGAGACATGTGACGGAGACGTGTGAGGGTGGGGTGACCTACGCAGTGGTGCCACAGAAGCGATGAGTGAGTAAGCGACCGACACGAGCAAGCCGCAGCAACCTGGGTAGACGCTGCCAACCTGGGGGGCGTCCCAACCGGGGGGGACGCGGTGTCCAGCGTGAACAGGTCAGATACCGGGTCCGGGGGGAACATGGTGAGGGGGCACCAGTGGCGGCCTCGGTACAGACAGCGTACCTCTCATGACCAGGGAACGTAGTGGTGAAGCCGAGGTCCTGAAGACAACCGACACCAACTAGATTCCGAGAGAACGAGGTGATGTGCAGGCCTGTAAGAGAGCCCAAAGGAACTGCCGGACTGGGGAGAGTGGTGGGACTACGGGTGACTACCGCACCGGAGGAAGGTTCTGCAAGGGCAACTGCGGCAGGGACGGCAAGCGGCATAAGCAGAGTGTGGTCCCGAAAGAAACACTGAGACGTGCCAGAGTCAAGAGTGAAGGAGAGCGCGACGGTGGCGGCTGGGGGCGGAGGAGCTAGGGTGGAGCCAAGGCTAAACAAAGCAAAGGGTCCTACACCTGACGCAGCAGGGGAGACTAAACTAGGCACACTAGGCACACCTACACTAGGCAACACGAGGTAATAGGAACCAGTCACACTAGAATCATCGACATATTGTACATACAATGCAGAGCTAATCTCATCCATGTCCATATCAAAGATCCTAACACCATGGCGGAGCAGACTGTGCCGGTCGGGGAGGTCTGGTGCGGGGCCGAAGCGGAGACGAAACAGGTCGTCCAGGCGACTGAAACAGCGAGTGGGGTTATGACCGGTCTTACCGCACACGAGGCCACGGCAAGGACCGGTCTGGAGCTGGTACTAGTAGTGCCCGTCACTCGCACCACCACGCGACGACGAGCTACGCCCACGACCACCGCGACCACCACCACCACTAGCGCCAGGCCACCCAGGCGGGAGGCGGCCGACCCTCCGCTGCGACTGCTGCTGCTGTTGCTGCTGGTCAAGCTGTAGCGCTTGCTGCTGCTCCCGCTGGGGCTGCTGCTCCGAGGCACCAGCCTCAGCCCCCTCGTTGGTACTACCGCCAGCGGATGAACCACGTCCACCACCACCTCCACCCCCTCCTCCACTGCCACTGCCGCGCCCAACCTTGGGGCGGCGGGCCTTACCATAACGGGACTGCGCTGTGGCCACCGCGGCAGTGGTCTCAGCAGCAGAGGCTGTCTCAGCTACAGCCGCAGAACCGTCAGAGTAAGTGCACTAAGCGGGAGCACATCCCTGAAAGATAGGGACCAGCGCAGTACCGCTAGACTTGGCGATAGAGCGCTGACGGGTCTCTATGGTAGACAGGGTGTTGACAAAGTCAGGGAGGGTGAGGTCTGCAGGGTGCAGACTCAGAAAGTGGTCGCGGGCAGTGGCAAGGCGGTCAGGGAGGCGGGTGACAAGCAGGTAAAGGGTAGAGCAGATAGGGGGCTGGAACACACGAAGCTGGGCATTAGTGCAGGCAGTGCGCCTGCTCGCGTCGAGCATGCGCAGGTGCGTGGCCAGGTCAGCGACAGTGGAGAAAGACGGGAGATCAGGGAAGAGCATGGGAAGGATCAGGCGGCTGGCAAAGGCAAAGGACGGGGTGGAATAACGCTCGACAACAGCCTCTAGGAACTCCTACGCAGTCCTGACCGACTTAAAGCAGGGATGCTCAAACAGAGGGAGGGCATGGCTAATCACGAGCTGAGCGGCAGCGTCTTGCGACAGCCAGACAGCACAGGCAAGGGCAGCAGCAGCGGCGGACTCACGGTCAGCAGACGTGGGGTCAGTGGGGAGAGCAGCACGGGGGTTAGGGCAAGGGAGCGTACCGTCAATGTGGACGGCCAGGGAGTGGCCGTCCTGCTGCTGACCAGTGAGGTGACGGTGGAGGTCGACGAGCCATGCGTCGAACTCAACCGGCTGACCCTCCGCGTCAAAGTGCAGCGCCGAGTCCGTCATTAAAGCCGCTGCAGCTGTGAGCAGGCGGTGAAGGGCGGGACGGAGCGACGAGGAGCAGTGGGGAGCAGTGCTGTACGGTGCAGTGCAGTGGAGTGCGGTGTAGTGCAGCGCCACGCGGTGCATAGTGGTGCAGTGCAGTGGGGCGCCATGCAGTGCGGAGCCACGCGGTGCAGAGCGGTGCCGTGAGGTGGGGCGCGGTGCAATGCGGTGCAGTGCGGTGCAGCACGGTGGGGCGCGGTGCAGGACGGTGGAGAGGGCCGGTTTAGCGAGCGGGGACCGGGAAACACAGTGGAGTGGGGGGGAGGGGGGGGGGGGGGGCGTTGAGAAGCTGGGAGACGGGGCCCCAGGGTGGCTGGGCGACGGGGCCGCGGAGCAGCGGGGCGACGAGGTCGCGGGGTGGCTGGGCGACGGGGCCGCGAAGCAGCGGGGCGACGAGGCCGTGGGGCGGCTGGACGACGAGGCCGCGGAGCAGCCGGGCGACAAGGCCGCAGGGCGGCTGGACGACGAGGCCGCGGGGCGGCTGGGCGACGGGGCCGCGGGGCGGCGAGGCGATGGGGCGGCTAGGCGATGGGGCGGCTAGGCCACGGGGCGGTAGGGCGGCTAGGCCACGGGGCGGCAGGGCGGCTACTCTAGGGGCGACCCGGCCGCGGGGCCAGCAGGACGGCTAGGCACAAGGCGACGAGGCGACGGGGCCACGGGGCCACGGGGCCGTTAGGCGCCAGGTGACGAGACGACGGGGGACAGGGGCAGCTAGGCGCTGGGTGACGGGGCGACGGGGCCACGGGCGGCTAGGCGCTAGGTGACGGGGCCGCGGGGCCAGCGGGGCGGCTAGGCGCTAGGTGGCGGGGCAACGGGGCCACGGGCGGCTAGGCGCTAGGGAACGGGGCTGCGGGGCAAGCAGGTGCTAGGAGACGGGGCCGAGGGGCCAGCTAGGCAACGGGGCAGCGGGGCCAGCGGGGCGGCTAGGCGCTAGGCGACGGGGTCGGCTAGGACGTAACGCGGAAGCGCGGGTGGGAGGGGGGGACCTAACCTACTCATGATACCATCTCAAAGTTAGAATTTTGTTGAGTAGAATTAGAGTATACATGGGTATATAGCTAATGGGTTGTACTCTCTATGGCATGACCCTATGTAGTCTACTAAACATACACACATATGTTTGACATTCACTGTGTACAATTCTTCTTTTCGGATTCCTGCATGATTTTAGCGAAGGACTTGTCAACCCCCTCATATCTGCTCCAGCTTGCCTCGAACTTGCGTGATTCTGGTCAAGGACCAATCACGCCCCTCTCACCTATTCTAGCTCACCTCGAAGTTCTGTGATTCTGGTCAAGGACCAATCACGCCCCTCAAACCTGCTCCACCTCGCCTCGAACTTGCGTGATTCTGGTCAAGGACCAGTCATGCCCCTCACACGTGCGCTAGCTCGCCTTGGCAGATAAGATTCAGATTCAGGGCGAATTTCGAGTAAGGCTGATTCGTCAGGCTTGGTAAAACAAGAAGATACTATTTTTAAGGCCTTGGAAAATGGGAACACATAAATTTTCAGGTTTGACAAAAATAAAAACCTGAAAAATCAGGGTTATGCCCTAGAAAATACCCTGATATACAGGCTTTCAGGCCTTTTTTGCCTGACTTATGAGGTCCTGCACCCAACCCAACCCAGGCCCTAGACCGAGGCTATTCTGCACAATATGCATTGATAGCAAGGAGATAACTGCCTTGTGCTGAACTAGAAAAACATTAATATAATTTATATGCATACAACACACCATTCCATAACGCAGCCAGCTCACATGTGACCATAACGACTTTATAGGATGGTGGTCTATCTATCAGATCCCGTTATTTTTCACTTTGGTTGGAAGTAGCACGGTATCCACTCCATGAACGACGATTGATGGGGACATGTACATGTTTCCAAGCACCACTCGCGCTCCCCAAGTGTCCCCTGGCCGGGCAATGCGCAGCCAGAAGTCCGTTTTGTTCTTCTTTAGTGCCACGTTGTCAAGTGTATCCAACTGTGAAAGGGATAAGATACGACGCGTAAGGGGGGTGCACAAGGGGGACAGGAAGGGGGAAAAGATGAGGAGAATACAAGGCTATAGAAAAGGAGGATTTGAGGCATGGAAACGCTAACACTTGCATGGCGTTGCGATAGCGAATTAGAGGGATACGAGTGTCTTGAACTCACCAGGTATCCATTCCCAAGGGCCTTCAGGTCATTGAATTCCAGCCGACGTGGCAGCACATGATAGGCCATGACCTGTTTCAAAACGATTGGCTTCCTCCTCAACCCTCCGAACCGCACGTTCTTGGGCATGCGGAAAAACGCTCCATTGGTTGGCGCGAAGATTGTAATATTAGCGGTGACGAGTGTACTCGTCAGAGTCTGATTTAATCCTGGACGGAAGGAGCACAAACAAAGCAAAATAAAAACAAAGATCAGTTACTAATAGAAATGCGAGAGAGTGTTTATGCAATGATTGTATATAAGAAATGAAGTGCTGTACAACTTCGGACCAGAACCAACCAGCGTACCACTGGTAGCGATGCCCGTCGCAGTTCCCGTGAATCTCCGCTGCTCCAAGAATTCTATGACGTCGTTCACTGCTTGCTGCTCCGCCGTCAGTCCACCTCCGCTGCTTGTGCCTCCGCCACTCCCCGTGTTGCCGCCGCTCCCGGTGCTTCCTCCGCTGCTCGTGCTTCCTCCGCTGCTCGTGCTTCCTCCGCTGCTCGTGCTTCCTCCGCTGCTCGTGCTTCCTCCGCTGCTCGTGCTTCCTCCGCTGCTCGTGCTTCCTCCGCTGCTCGTGCTTCCTCCGCTGCTCGTGCTTCCTCCGTTGCTCGTGCTTCCTCCGCTGCCCGTGTTCCCCCCGCTGCCCGTGCTTCCCCCGGTCCCCGTTGTTCCCCCAGTCCCCGTTGTTCCCCCAGTCCCCGTTGTTCCCCCAGTCCCCGTTGTTCCCCCAGTCCCCGTTGTTCCCCCAGTCCCCGTTGTTCCCCCAGTCCCCGTAGTTCCCCCAGTCCCCGTTGTTCCCCCAGTCCCCGTTGTTCCCCCAGTCCCCGTTGTTCCCCCAGTCCCCGTAGTTCCCCCAGTCCTGGTAGTTCCCCCAGTCCCCGTAGTTCCCCCAGTCCCGGTAGTTCCCCCAGTCCTCGTAGTTCCCCCAGTCCCCGTAGTTCCCCCAGTCCCCGTAGTTCCCCCAGTCCCCGTAGTTCCCCCAGTCCCCGTAGTCCCCCCAGTTCTCGTGCTCCCCCCGGTTCCAGTATTTCCCCCTGTCCTCGTGCCACCGCTGCCACCTCCTTCCCCCGTGACCGTACCGCCCGTGTTTCCGGTACCACCCGTGTTTCCGGTACCACCCGTGCTGCCCGTGGTGCCAGTGCTGCCCGTGCTGCCGCCCTTGCCGCCGCCCCTACCCCGCCTCCCCGGCCAGGGAACAGTGATTTTCCACTGCCATGATGGGCCCTTGTTTTTCGACGGCGCGTTATGGTTGCCGAGGGGAAACGCCGCGAAACCCATATCGTTGAGTTTACCCGTGCCCGTCGCGGCCTCCCCTGTTTCGCTTGCTTGACCTGCTCTCATGCCCCGCCACGCCTTCTCAAGAGGGAGCGTGCTTTTAACGAGCCGCGATGTGCTTAAACGGAGCGAATCGCCCATGGCGGAGGGCCGCGGGACACCCATCGTCCGCGGGACACCCGCCGCCAACTTGGTTTCCGCCGCGCGAAAGATCGCGCGCCGGTCGAAAGGTTTCGCTGCTAGCGACGGCGACGCGAGGAGGAGCGACAAGAGGAGCAGGAAAAGCGGAAGGAGCGTGAGCGGGAGAGGGGTATTTGAACGTGAGAGGTGGAGAACGGGGAATATTGACCGTGATTGACTGCAGTCACGGTCCCCGATGGCCACGACCTCAAAATGTTCCCCGACGGCCGGGACCTCAAAATGTTCCCCGACGGCCGAGACCTCAAAATGTTCCCCGACGGCCGGGACTTCCCGACGTTTCCGAGCTGAAACCTGGACTCTTTGGGGGAACCGCTGCTGCCGATGTGCCTTGGATTCCATGGCTATGCGATGCACGAAAATAGTTTCCTTGTCGCAGTCAAGTGAAAGTCGCGTGTCTGAAATATAGCGGCGGTACTACTGCATTACATCTAATAGAGAGCTGTCTCTTACGTTGACGAAACGAGCTTCTACACTAGACGCCTCAACGCAGAAAAGGGGGGTGCCATTGGCAGTGAATCGTACGTTTTGACTCAAGATTCGGTGCGTTCTGCCTACCACACTAGAACTGTTAACGCTGCACAAGTAGTCCGAGTCGCACGAAAGAATAGTAGTAATAACAATTGTTTCTCTCGTATACAGTTTTGCCAACAGCGCGAGCTCACTGGCAGTCAACGTAGTAGTACTCGGAAAAGCCTTCCAGGGGGGAATAACCTGCTAACGAACTTCTGACTCTGCCGACAATTTCTATCGGCGCGAAGTTTGAGCCAGGATGTCCTTGTCTGATTGGCTGGATCCAGCAAAGAGGGCCGCTCCGCTGACGCGACTGGCGCAGTCATCGCGGAAATTGCGGGAACTTCCCGCCTTGAATCGTTTCTGACACACGACCTAGGCGCTGAGTTCGAGATCCGAGAAGCGGGAGGGAGCGAGTAACGTCCAAATTTCAGACAGAGAGAGAGAGCGCGCACGAAAGAGAGAGAGAGACGTAGACGGAGTTCAGTCAGGCTGTCAGTCAGGCCAGGGGTTGCGGTGGTGAGGTTGAGTGGTGACAGGCAGCGAGAGCAGGGTGTGCTGCTGCATAAGCGAGCTGCCGCAGCGTGACCCAGCGGGGTTTTGCAGCGACATGGCTGCTGGGCTATTGGGAAGTATTGTCGGGTGACGCGTCCAAGTAGGGTCTTTGCTTGCTACTAAACAAAATCTGTGTTTTGTCCCAAACAAGCCACCAGCAGAAACAAGATAGTCATCTAACACAACAGCGAGTAGACGAAGAGTGAGGGTTGCTGGAGATGAAAGGTTGCAGGGGAGGGGAAGGATGGGGAGAGCTGGCAGGAGTGTGGACAACTGGCAACGCAACCGAAACGAACCCAACCGCGCTGCGAACGAATGTACACATGTTTTTTGACACCACCCCCTACATCACATTGGCAATGTTGCCATGGGATGGGAACCATGCGCGCCTCGTCGAGGCCCATTTCTCCCGAATACGCGCTTCGGTATCAACGCAAATGCTGGTTGGTGTTGGCTGGCGCACGTGGATGGTCAATGTCAACACGTCAGCGGGCCTGCAACAGAAATGAGGTCAAATCGGGTAAAGTGGGCATAGGCAGGCATTCTTTGCATTGCAGTGCTGCGCATTTTCAAAAGCTGGCGCTGGCGGGTTCGGCTGGGTTCGTGGCATGGGTGGGTGGGTGGGAGGCAAAGTTTCGATAAGCGGGTGGAACCGTTTTCCAGCCAACTTGTCTGCCATTCAGTCGACAATGTACGGTCGAACAACGAACTTCAGTCGACAATGGTGAAATCCCTAAAAATTCCAGAGCATGCTTGGCATGGCGCGAGGCAGCAGGACTCGCGGATCGCCAGTGCATCGAGCCAAGTTGGTGGGGTTTTTAGGTTACCGGTAACCCTTACTAGCGTTTTACTCTTTGGGATCACGTTTATCCCCTATTACGGAAGGGTTTCTCGCCGATCAAACCCCCCAGGGACAGTTTTTTGTTCTTCGAGGTTAGTTCTCTCCACAGCGAACCACGTGGCACAGCGGCCGAAAGTCCTGGGAAACTGAGGGTTTGGTCCAATAAGTTTCGAGAAACTCACTCGAAATGCAAGCACTCGCGACGCTACTGGGTTTCCAAGTGCGCTGAAAACAGGGAAACAAACATCGCAAACCAATTTCTCGAAATCACCACACACAAAACCACGCGTCATCTTTTCCCCTCTTGGCTAGGGTACATGTGGGCGAGTTTCACGAGAATTCTACGGCGAAGAAAGCTTGGTGGACGTGTGGTTACTGATTTTGCGAGTGTTACTCTACTTGGAGTTGAATTCGCATTTTCGCGAGGTTGGCGCGCTGTGGGGCGGACCTTGACACGCATTCCCATGCCTTGGCAACAGACAGTGCATCGAGCACTATTGGGACGTGCCAGGAATAGCCAAAGCACAGAGATTTCCGTTATTTATCAGCCTGGCGTGACAGCTGGGAACGTGTCGTCTCGGCACGCAAAGTTACCACCACGTCCTTATCGATTTGGCGAAACCAAGTACTATACTTCAGGTTTCTGACGACCACAGGGCGAGCTTCGCCAGCATTGTTACTATCGTAGTACTGTAGTTCTCAAGTGTCAGTTTCATGTTCCATTCGCCAGACTGGACAGTACCGGCTGGAAAGACGTTGAAACAGTAACGTGCGACAACCATATTTCAACGTGCGGCAACTTTGTGAACGGGGTCTCGTTACACCTCGTTACCATAACCAAGAACAAAATGCATAACTAGCTGTAGAATGTGTAAGCTTTGCATGCTACTATAGTAGCATGCAAACAGAGGGTGGGAAAACCGGAGGGCCTGTCTGATCATCAAATGAAAAATTTTACCAATTTCTGAAAAATCATATGAAACCTTGTAAATTTTATGATCGTCACAGTCCACAGGCTAAAAAAACACACCTTGGGTGCTCTTGAAAACTGTGTTTTTTGGTGGTCAGAATAAAAGACCCAAACTGGAGCACTCCACATGAAAAGTAACGAAAAAACATATCTTGCGACATTTTGAAACGTAGCGAGAGGGCCACGACGCACGAAGCACCCCCACGACTTCGGTGGAATATGGTGCGACAAGAACTGAGGTCGCAAAATTGTTTCTGTGCGACCACAACCTCGAACCCATCGTTCAAGAGCTCCATGGGTGTGCTTCACGTTTCTAAGGAGGAGATAATCTCGTAGTCACACAAGCTTAAGAACCCATAGCTGCCACAGCACAGGTCAGATAAAAAAAACCGCCCCGCGCATCGACGACCAACTCATACCACTAGGGGGAGACGGATTTATTCTCCGAGTAGGCGACCTCCATATGTGTCATACCGCAACACACAGAGGGACAAGCTAAAACCAGCGTAAACGAGCCAACGAAGCCGTAGTTTGCGACGCGAATCTAGGGTAAGACCTGCCATTAGGCCCCGTGACTAAACGCATGTATATAGCCGGCGTTAAAGCGGCACGGGGGGCCGCGGATAGCGACGAGATCGGGGGACGCATAGGAACGAGAGGGGGAAACCGATGGCGAAATGAGGGGGGCCGGATGGCGAGGAGAGGGGGAACGGACGGCGATGATAGGGAGAACGGACGGCGAGGATGGGGGGAAAGGACAGGGGTGAGGGGTAGCGGATGGCGTGGAGAGGGGGAACGGACAGCGAGGCTAAGGGGAACGGACAGGGGTGAGGGGGAGGCGACGCGAGGGGGAACGGATGGCGAGGTGAGGGAGAAGGGATGGCGAGGATAGGGGGAACGGATGGCGCGAAGAGGGAGAAAGGACGGCAAGGATAGAGGGAACTTCCAGGGGTGAGGGGGAGCGGATGGTGCGAAGAGGGGGGACGGATGGCGAGGGGAGGGGGAAAGGATGGCGAGTTGAGGGGGAACGGATTGCGAGGTGAGAGGGAACGGAGGGTGAGGCTAGGGGGAATGGAGGGCGAGGCTAGGGGGAACGGGGACGAGCAGAGAATGAACGGATGGCAAGGTGAGGGAGGGACGGAGCCGCGTAAGGATGGGGGTGTGGAGAGGGTGAACGGTGTGGGAGAGGGTGAACGGTGTGGGCGAGGGCGAGGAGACCGGGAGGACTGTGCATAGAGAGAGGGGGAGAGAGGAAGAAGTGAGGGGTAACCGAGGGTGCAGAGAGAGGGAGGAGAGTGCATAGAGAGAGGGGGAGAGAGGACGAGAAGTGGGGTAACAGAGGGCGGGGAGAGATGGGGGAGAGGGTGAGCGAGGGCTGATGAGAGGGCGGGCAGATTCCTGAATCTGCTTCCCAAGTCAGATTCCTAACTCAGATTCTCAAGTCAGATTCCCAAGTTAGATCCCCAGGTCAGATTCCCATATCAGAGTCCCATGTCAAATTCCTGAGTCTCATTCCCGAGTCAGATTCCCATGTCTGCCGCCCGTCCCTCCCTCTCGCCCATCCTCCCCTGCCGCCCTTCCCTCCCCTCTCGCGTGTCCCTCCCCACTTGCCCGTCCCTCCCCTGCCGCCCATCCTTCCCCTCTCGCCCGTCCCTGTGCGTGCGCCCGTCCCTCCCTTCTATCTATCCCCTCCTGACAGCGTGTCTCTGGATTCCGTCCCCGTCTCCCTTCCCCTCTAGCTCCCATCACCCCCTCAGCTCCCACCATCCCCTCAGCTCCCACCATCCCCTCAGCTCCCACCATCCCCTCAGCTCCCACCATCCCCTCTAGCTCCCACCATCCCCTCAGCTCCCACCATCCCCTCAGCTCCCACCATCCCCTCAGCTCCCACCATCCCCTCAGCTCCCACCATCCCCTCAGCTCCCATCACCCCCTCAGCTCCCACCATCCCCTCAGCTCCCATCATCCCCTCAGCTCCCACCATCCCCTCAGCTCCCACCATCCCCTCAGCTCCCACCATCCCCTCTAGCTCCCACCATCCCCTCAGCTCCCATCACCCCCTCAGCTCCCATCATCCCCTCAGCTCCCACCATCCCCTCAGCTCCCACCATCCCCTCAGCTCCCACCATCCCCTCAGCTCTCACCATCCCCTCTAGCTCCCACCATCCCCTCAGCTCCCATCACCCCCTCAGCTCCCACCATCCCCTCAGCTCCCACCATCCCCTCAGCTCCCATCATCCCCTCAGCTCCCACCATCCCCTCAGCTCCCACCATCCCCTCAGCTCCCACCATCCCCTCTAGCTCCCACCATCCCCTCAGCTCCCACCATCCCCTCAGCTCCCATCACCCCTCAGCTCCCACCATCCCCTCAGCTCCCACCATCCCCTCTAGCTCCCACCATCCCCTCAGCTCCCACCATCCCCTCAGCTCCCACCATCCCCTCAGCTCCCACCATCCCCTCTAGCTCCCACCATCCCCTCAGCTCCCACCATCCCCTCAGCTCCCACCATCCCCTCAGCTCCCATCACCCCCTCAGCTCCCACCATCCCCTCAGCTCCCATCATCCCCTCAGCTCCCACCATCCCCTCAGCTCCCACCATCCCCTCAGCTCCCACCATCCCCTCAGCTCCCATCATCCCCTCAGCTCCCACCATCCCCTCAGCTCCCACCATCCCCTCAGCTCCCATCACCCCCTCAGCTCCCACCATCCCCTCAGCTCCCACCATCCCCTCTAGCTCCCACCATCCCCTCAGCTCCCACCATCCCCTCAGCTCCCATCACCCCCTCAGCTCCCACCATCCCCTCAGCTCCCATCATCCCCTCAGCTCCCACCATCCCCTCAGCTCCCACCATCCCCTCAGCTCCCACCATCCCCTCAGCTCCCACCATCCCCTCAGCTCCCACCATCCCCTCAGCTCCCATCACCCCTCAGCTCCCACCATCCCCTCAGCTCCCACCATCCCCTCTAGCTCCCACCATCCCCTCAGCTCCCACCATCCCCTCAGCTCCCACCATCCCCTCAGCTCCCACCATCCCCTCTAGCTCCCACCATCCCCTCAGCTCCCACCATCCCCTCAGCTCCCACCATCCCCTCAGCTCCCATCACCCCCTCAGCTCCCACCATCCCCTCAGCTCCCATCATCCCCTCAGCTCCCACCATCCCCTCAGCTCCCACCATCCCCTCTAGCTCCCACCATTCCCTCAGCTCCCACCATCCCCTCAGCTCCCACCATCCCCTCAGCTCCCATCACCCCCTCAGCTCCCACCATCCCCTCAGCTCCCATCATCC